TATCCACAGGAAAACAGAATGGGATTACAGTTTGAATTCTTCCAGTAATTAGATAAGCAGTTTCTTATTCTGCTTCAAAATTGTCAGCATGACTATGATGAGATTTATTTCTGTCTTAACAGTGGATTTAAACCAGATGTAAATATGATTCATTAGGATAACTACTAGTTAGATGGATGTGAATGTTTGGGCATCGAACTTTGTATGTCCAGATTTTTGTCTTCAGTTCATATAGAATAATTCATTAATTTATTATGTTTATTGTCCTGCTTAATAAACATGATTGATAATATGTTTGTTTAATAAGTTGGAAACCAAGTTTGAAAATATGTCCTATAATGACCCGGGTTCGATTCCCGACATGTGTGAAGCCCATTTCTGGTGTCCCCCGCCATGATATTGCTGGAATATTGCTAAAAGCGGCGTAAAACGATACTCACTCACTTTATAGAGGGAAATATAGTCCAGGTTTCAAACCCATGATGATAGACTTTTGGCACACCTAAGGGATTCAATGTCCTTGTTTGAAGTACTCAGACAAGTTATAATTTAAGCAGAAGAACTATCATCACAACCCCTTCAAAGATGCATTGTAAAATGCCATTCTCAGTGGAGAACCCAGGCCCCTGAAAGCGAGCATGTACAAAGTTGTAAACTGCAGTAGTGTCACTTCTGACAAGTTGAACAAGTATAGTTCAGTGGCTACCCATGTGTGTCCGGACACCGCTGTTGGGTAATATACATACACGTGTGAACTGGGTCCCCTCTCAGAACACAATGATAATAAGTTACGCTCAACTGAGCCTTGTCACTTGCCATCATCTTAATTATGGCAGTGCAAATACTTGTCACACACGTTAACAAGTTGGGTGCGAGTTAGTCTATTTCATTGTGTGTATTCGGATATGTTTGTCAGGTGCTCCATAATTGATTTTTGACTGCGTCAACTTTGTGAAAACTTTGTGACAGAGTTGTTTAACAGCTCATGAACTGATCCTGTTCAAGCTTGACCTGATCTGGGTTTTTAGGATGTAGTTTGAATGACCATTTTTTATCAAAAATATAATTGTTTCAGCAATTGATGGCTGAGTGAGATTTGATTTGTGTGAAGTTTTGATAATTTTGGTGTCTTAAGTTCAACTGACATAATAGCCAGACATATGTATGCAGTGTTTGAGTCCTTGGGTCCTTGGGTCCTTTGGTCCTTGGGTCCCTAATGTTTGCTGCTATTTTTTTTTTTATTCTAGGGACCTCTACATCTGTTACTTCTAACACATTGGGGTCATGACGAGGACCCCTAAACTTTCATGCTCAATTTCAAACACTTGTGTGTGTATCAAAGATCCCTTTGTCTCTCAAGTAGCACACACCTTCTGTCCAGAGCGGCACAGTTTCAGAAGGGTAATGTTCCACAGGGGCTAAGGGGCGGTCGGGTAGCGGTCGGTTAAAGCGTTCGCTCCTCACGCCGAAGACCCGGGTTCGATTCCCGACATGGGTACAATGTGTGAAGCCCATTTCTGGTGTCCCCCGCCGTGATATTGCTGGAATATTGCTAAAAGCTGCGTAAAACCGTACTCACTCACTCACTCCACAGGGGCTAACCAAGATTTTCCTGTGTGGAAGTCAGGATATCAGTGATGAGTGATGGGTCCAGGTATCAAGTATCAGGTAAAACTGAAATATCTTCCACCTCATGTACATATCACATATGTCACACACATGATCTACACTGAGGTACCTGTTGGTAGCTTGACACTTGTTTACAAGATACTTGCCAGGGGAGACTATTGACTAGATATACTGGTCCTTGAGGGAGATACAAGAAAACTAATGTTTACTTGATGCTTATGAGATCATTCCTAAAGGCTAAAAAGCAGAGACAGCTTTGTTAAATTCAGGGGAGACAACTCTGTTAAACACAGGGGTGTCTCCTCTATTAAACACAGGGGAGACAACTCCCTTAAATACAGGGGAGACAGCTCTGATAAATTCAGGGGAGACAACTCTGTTAAATACAAGGGAGACATCGGGGGAACAACTCTGTAAGACAGAAGTAGATACTGGCAGGAGTAGGACTTTGTTTAGATGAAACTTTTACTGGTTTGATACTTAGAAGGGGAACTATATGTATTGAGGAAGATATTTCCCATTTACTGGATACATATAGAGGGAGACATTTATTGGATGTATATTTTACAGAGTTGAAATGATTCCTGTTTTATACAATGAAACAAATCTGAAGCTTATTGGAAGTAAAATGATGTATGTGATGTCAAGTAAAAGCAAGTAGTTACTTTTTAGCTGTTGTACCATTTCAGATAAACTCTAGTAATATGAAAGTATCAGATGATCATGAACCTTTTTGAGTAGTATACTACATGACACCTGCGAGAAGATTAACCAACACGAGGATGAAAATCATTGTGGCTTAAATTCAGCTGGGGCATAAGTAAACTCATGATAAACACACACTTTGAGATAATTATGGCAAGCTTCTCCAACACTCCCCTTTTCTTCCCGTCAGTCAGTCTTATGTATAGTGTAGGCTAGGGAGAAAGCACATTGAATTCTCAGATACTGGTCTCCAAAGTATGCTGTTTGTGAAATCGGAGAAAGATAACGCCAGGCAATAAATTCTAGCCAAAGCCTGAATTCTCAAATTTCTAATTTTCTTTTTAATGCTGTCATGTTTCTTGCATCCTTCAACCTTGAGTCAAATTTTTGGTGGCAGAGATCCCTTGCATGTGGATTTGCGTCATGGAAATAGTGAAAACAAACCTTGACAAAACAAAACTAATTGAGGGAATCTGATGTTGGAATTATTAGGGGCTATTTTCAGAAGAATGCTAGGTTCATCTCAGTTTGAATGCATTCCCAAAGTTCTTAAGTATTATAGATCATATTTGAGAAACATTATTGATGAATATATCGCTTGCACCGACATCAGTATGTCTGTGAGAAGTGTATTACCTGTGTTGTATAATTACTGTCAGTGCAGAATAAGCCAGATAGACAGATAGATTGGACGTGCAGTACTCGGGTTACCTTCAACTTTCATCACCTCAGCGGGGCTTCTGGGTAACTTTCTATGCTGGTTGCCAGTCATAAGAGGCGATTTAATAGTTAGACTCAGTGACTTGGTTGATAGCCTGTCACCATGGATCATTGGTCATAATGTCAGTCACTGGATTGTCTGGTCCAGACTTTAGTATTGGCAGACTATGTCATATAGCTGCAGTATTACTGATTGCAGGGTTAAACAACAAATAAAAAAACAAATAACTTCTTACGAGGATATATATTATCTTAGGACATGTTTAGAACTCATTCAACTCTGGTAAAAATGAAAAGCAATTTGTTGAGGAAACAGAAATGAAAAAAACACTAATGTTGAGGTGAGGCAAACTGAAAACAGATGGATATACGCTGGTATTTTTTTTACTAATTTTGGAGGAGCAATTTGGGAGTGTTTATTTCATTTTCTATCAGCAGTGCGGAGATCTATTTCCTTAAGTACCCAGCTCTTGACTGTGGCTCTAGTTGCTAAATCGTGCCGTGAGCAACATGTTGAAAACTTCAACTGCTCTTTTGAGTAAAGACGTGGGAATGTAGAGAAGGTGGTTGTTTTTGCAGTGCTTTCTTACAACACCCATGTTGTGTGGCGGGAGCCCCGTGTGATACTCCTGCCACACGTCACATGCAGCGATAAAATCATTCACTCTGCACACTTGACAGGAGGCACTGAGTTGCATGTCATCCTTGTATTAACTACACATTTTTATGTCAGTCTTGTTTACGTGGAGCACAACTTTCCTTGTTATGGTAGCTGACGTCAGATTGCAGTGACGTGCATGTTGTTTGTTGTTATGATATTAGTTTATGTTGATCCATGTAGGTTATGTCTGCTTGTTGACATTGATGGTGTGTCTTTTGCAAAGATGGATTACTTGAAATGGATTTGTTGAAATTACACCTGACAAAATTATTTTTTTGAAACTGCTTATCAATTTGACCTTTATGAAAGTTTAAATAATAAGGCCACTCATAAAACACAAGACTACACAAAGGGGAACATGTAGCCTTGCTCAAAGGGTCACTGAAAGATAAATCCATGGATGTGTAGTAATGCTATCTTCAAATAGGCAAGTCTAGATAAGCGGACAGCCTAGAGAAGCCAGTTTCTTATAGGGACAACTTGTTCTGATTATTTATATAACCTAGAAATTATGATTTAAGCTAATAAATATTGTCTTAGAGACTTGTGCAAGGCTATGGAACATGTTGAACACAAAGATGTTGCCTTGTATGAGAGTGCATTCAAATTGTATAGTATAAGATAAAGCAATATTAAATTCACAGTTATATTGCGACGTACCTATGCCTTAAAGTATGCTACACAATAATTACCTGGTCAACAGATATAATCAGCGTGCACTCAAACTCAGTTCTCAGCTCCCTGAGAAGTATGCAATCAAAACTTACTTTTAGGTGCTAGAAGGGTTACATTCATGCTACATTCATGTTACCATTTTATCCACCCGGGTACCCATTTGCTGCTGGATGAGCAGGGTAATATTTTGAACATAATCATTTGCCTTACGAGTCACCACACATTAAATTTGGGCAGGGTCGAAGCCCTAGAAACTCTCAGGAATCAATCTTGCCGAATTCTGTTGCCGACCCACCTGATCTCTGCTGCCAGAGTTTCTTAATTTTATCTGACTTGTGACCTGTTTACTATGCACAGAACCAATTGCCACAACCCGAAGAATGTATTTTGAATGTGTTTACATGCAGAATGTTGTTAACATAAAAATTGTCACAATTGGGAAAAGATTTGAATTTACATTTACAGGTGAAATCACTTTGCAGAGTTTTGTACTTGGTTGGCAGATGGAAACCGTTTCATTTTTACACCAAGAAACCATACAAAGCATCATTCAGAAGTAGTCCATGGTCAGAGAATTTAATTAATTATTGTGTCAATTATTATATTTCAGAAGCAAGCTGTGCATGTCATGCGAGGGCAATAAAGGATTTCCACAGCATTTATGACCCTGAGAGTCTGGCCTTCAAAGAAGGGGACATAATCACTGTGAGTATCACTTTCCTTTAAATGATGAGCAGGCCATATGCCACCAGTAGTGGAGCCCCATGATGCCGCCAGTAGTGGAGCCCCATGATGCCACCAGTAGTGGAGGCCATGATGCCACCAGTAGTGGAGGCCATGATATCACCAGTAGTGGAGGCCATGATGCCACCAGTAGTGGAGGCCATGATATCACCAGTAGTGGAGGCCATGATGCCACCAGTTGTGGAGCCCCATGATGCCACCAGTAGTGATGCCACCAGTAGTGGAGGCCATGATGCCACCAGTAGTGGAGGCCATGATATCACCAGTAGTGGAGGCCATAATGCCACCAGTAGTGGAGGCCATGATGTCTCCAGTAGTGGAGGCCATGATGCCACCAGTAGTGGAGGCCCGTGATGCCACCAGTAGTCAGGGCCCATGATGCCACCAGTAGTGGAGGCCCATGATGCCACCAGTTGTTGAGCCCTGTGATGCACCAGTAGTGGAGCCCCATGAAGTGGAGGAGGCCGGTGATGTAGACAGATTAGCCTGACAAATCTCCAAACTGCAATTACCAGCAACCAGCTCACCTTATGGTTGCAGAACATTTACCAGAAAGATTTCTTTAACTGGTTAGCTTGAAATGTCAGCGAGAGCCATTTCTCCAGATTGATGTTGGGGAGTTTTTAAGAAGCCAATGATTACGCTAGTGTTCTTGCACACAGATGTAAGCAGCACGCCCATGGAAAGTGTTTGTCAGCCATTAAAATGTTGTATCTTTCTTATTGGGTAAGTTTTAGTGGAATATGACAACAGAAAAGGATACTTTTTGTAAGCTAATGTTCCTGGATTAGGAAATTAAGCAGATACGAACTGATGATGAGCATGTGTTTCATTTGGGTTCCCACACTTAACTGTCAGTTCTTTCTGGAGAACAGTTTTATCAGGTGTATGTGGGTTTCGGCACATCCCCATTATCTTATGGACATCTCTTCATAGCTGTCATTAGGTAAATATTGATGCCAGTATTATGAGAGGTTATGGTAGCCGGTGCCATGCCTCATTTACCTAGTGAGCTATGCTTTGTCTGGCACAGGACCATTGCACACAAGACCACCCACCTTCCATGGGCCACAAGTTTAGGTTGTTTTGTTTTTTAAAGATGTGAAATTCAAGATTTGGATTTGAAAATGTTATATCATTGTAGTTTTCTTGAACTGTTTCTTTATTTTTGTCAAATTTGACAACAATTCATGGCTGAACTTTGCATCAAGGCTGTGTACGTAACATGTCATTTCTCTGTGATGTTTTTTCCTGGTGGAATCAGACACTTGTCGCACTGCATGGGACTGAAAGCAGTTAACATGTGTTTTTGTATAACAGATGGCAAGCTCACTGTGATGTGCTGGCATTACTTTATAACTGTCAACACAATGAAAACTAATTCCTGAACACAAGGGAGAAAGGAGTTTGGTACAATATTTTCTGATGAGGGAGCTCTTTATGAATTCTTATGTTTCTGTTCTCAGAGAGCTTTGTCTGTTGTCTGATTATTAGGAGTTATAATTAAACAACCCACCCCTATTTTAATAGGATCTTGCACACAATGTGGTATAAGAAAGTCACTGATACACCTACCGAGGACACCCTTACCAGGGACAATAAAGGGCTTGAAATTTAAACAAGCCATGACACAAATATCGTGAGGTACTTTGCTGTAAATTACAGACATGGCTTTGTGTACTATATACGCCCAGTAATTTGAACTTTTTAACTAGTTCAGTGAATTAGGAAAGCATCATCTCAGATTCATGGTGAGTTCGTGTCGTTAAGTAAACTTTATCACATAGCTGCATGTAAGTAATTTGTTATAAAGCCCAGCTGCTTGTTATTTAATTATAATGAATGTGTAAGCTCAAAGGGTTGTCGTGTCTGTCACTCTCAGATGGCCGAAAGGCCTACAGCGGAAGAAACTATATAGCTAAGAGTTTCAGTTCACTAGTCCTTCTCATGATAACATATCCCTAAAACCCCTAAAAATGGCACATTTCTGATAGTCCTTGTGATAACTATTGGACAGTTGGGTAAGGACTAAAAGACTGACGCCGGTCTAATTCTCTGCAATTTGCTGTGTCCCTTATTCATTTAAGGTTCCACTAATCAGTGGTTCAAATCCCATCCCAGATTATCGTCATTGGTTTGATGGCAGCAAAATGAAACTTTTAACAGTCAGCAAAGCAGTAAATGTCAACAACATGCATCAGTTTGGACTTAACAATACCAACTCCCTTCCTGAATCTGTGTCAAACGTCCTGTAAATACTGCTTCTTGCTTCCCCACCTTACCCAACTAACATTATCAGTTAACTTTACCTGGATTAGTTTTGGGCCAGACAGGCTTCAACATGTTCTACTGCTGCCATAGATGGAAAATGTTTACAAACAAGGGACTAGCCATGTGTTACAGTAATAGAGAAGGGGAAAGGTTACACCCCTGCCTCACACCTTGGTGGTAAGTCCAGGCTATGTTGTACTGTCTGTGTCTACAAATGACAAACTTCAACACCAGATGATCAAAGTAAAAACTATCACCTTACAACCTTTCCATAGGAATTCTTTTATCTCTTATATCTTAGATCTTCTTATCAAATGTAAAACACTATGAGAAACATGTCAAAATTTAAAGTCTGCACGTGGTCACAAGAGGATTTTAAAGGTGGGTTATCTGTGGCGTTAGGAAACTTTTGTTTTCTTCTTGTGTGTCAAGGTGAGACTGGGACAACATCCGGTGGGGTAAATGCTGTGTGCGAATTACCACCCACAATGTTTGTAACTCCACGTGAAAAAAGTCAGTTGTCGATAATCAGCTGTCAAGAGAAAACAAACAAGGAAGATTGTCCACTAGAGATTTTTTCGTGTGCACTGGCGGTCCGTGGGTAAATGTTTAACAGTAGCTGGTCAAACATAACGGGATGGGGGCACGAGGCAATGCGGCATCCTATCGTCTTAAGTTCAAATACCATTTTGTTGAGTTTCCACCGGCAATCACAGGACAAGTCAAACAACCTTGTTTGCCTTTTTATTAATTCTTACCCCCTCATAGACTAAGGATTACACATGACTGGTTGCAAGTCTGTTACAAGGATCTGCAGGACACCTCAGAATGCTCCCAGTGGGCCAGGTAGATGATTGGCTTTCAGTGGAGGGACGGACAGTGATATCTCATTGAGCGACACTTGTTTTTTTCGCTTGTAATAGACACTTGTCAATTTCAAATGTAGGACACTTGTTGATTTCAATGTGATGATGGCCGTTTGTTGATTTCAAAGTATGAACAGTTGTTAATTATGAGATAATGGACACTTGTGATTTTGTTGTAATAGATACATGTTGATTGCAGTGTGAAAGACTCATTTCTGCTCATGATTATTGGTAAATATATGAGGTTGCCTCTTAAGACAATCACTGAATAATGTTATTGATTTTCCGGGGTACTATGGAATTGACATTGGATTTGTCTACGTCCAATGAATAATGTAGCACCTGTATACACAGCAGAGAACACAACATACGAAATGGCTTGTGGATATGTTTATACGACTGGAAGGGTTTATTACTAATTCCATCAAGGTAAAAGTGATATATGAGACACCAGATGAAATTGGAAGTTTCACCTGATTCTAGGAATCAATGAATGTCATCTCAGAGTCTACCTAGCAAGTGTAGACGTGTCTTGGACTTATGTTGACTGCTCACTCCTTCGGATTAGACGTAAAGGTGCACTTCGTTGACGTGTCTGTGAGGACCTTTATAACGGACACTTTGTGTCTGGATCCTGGTACAGTCGGCAAGTAGAATCGTCCTGACAAGTTCACATATTCTATCTGTCAAATGTTATTGACATTGTATTATTTACCAATGGATTGATTCTGGGTTTGATTGGCAGGTAATCATTTGATTGAAGAATGTTTTTGTGATTTTAGACGGCTGTGAAATGAAAGTCTGTTAGATATGTGCATCAGTATGTCATGACTGGTGATGATTTAATGTTACATTTTACGTATTGTCAACATTTACAACGAATAACGGAGCATTCTGTCACTGTGTGGAGGAATATGTTGATGGACCCGTGTGAGACATATTGTTTGGTCACCGGAGATGTGTGTGATCAAATTGGTTTCATCGTGCTTTTGTGGCTGCTTCATATGACCACAGAGAGCTGGAGCCACTTGTCGCAGTGAGAATGTTTGATCATATTTCTTCAGTGTAGACCACTAAGTACATGGAAGTTCAAGTTTCAAGACAAGACTGTCATCTCAGGAAATGCCATTACTGAAATAACAACCTACACCTAGGATTGCACTGAGGATTGTGCTGTAGCAGGTTTGGAATATATTGCTGACACCTGAAGCAAGTGCTAATGTAAAATCAATTGATTTGTGGATTTCAATGGATTGTGGTGCTTTGTTGGAGTGAATTTGTTTTGCTGAGTAAGCGGAACTGGAAAAATCAACAAATGTGTCCGGATTATGTCACGGTTGATTAACTAACCCAGTGTGTAACTGCATACAAGTGAGGACGTAATTATATGTAAATGTCCTGAAGGCAATACAGTAATGTTTGCGGAAATTGTTTCATGGTGAAATTATTGTTCTGTTGTAATTACCAGTAAATTAAGCAGGAACAAATTGGGAACTTGAAATTAGCGATATGATTTTTGTGGTATTGATGGTTCATTTCACATGTAACACTGCTGCTGACAACATGTAAATGAAGACTTTGAGATTGGCTAAAACGAGGTCTGTATCACAGATCTACTTACTTGGACGGCCAAATTGAAAATAGAAATAGATTGAAATTGGTGTTGTGATGTCCAAGATGAGGAAGATTGCTTCTCGTGATTCCCTGCAATAAGGTTTGGATCCTGTGGAGGGTATTGCTACAAATTACTTGTCCCTGCACGGAATTTCCACTGTCCTGGAATTGTGAAATTGAACTAAGTTAGGATATTGTGAAATCGGCATC